TATTTATTATTATCATAGATTCTATGATTCTATGATAATAATAAATATATTACCACCTCTTCTTGCAGATCAATAGTAATAATACTAATGACAACAACCATTATAATAAATTTATTATTTTGTCTAAATAATCAGAATCATAATAATAACCCACCGCTCCTTGTGGCTCAATAATAATAATAATAATAATAATAGATGTATTATTAGATAATAGATAATAATAGATGTATTATAATAGTTGTGAAAGATCTAGAACTTCAATATGCTAATGATAACGTAGTCTGTGCGCATTCAGAAGATGGAATAAATAATAGATGGAATAATAATAGATGTATTATTAGAGAATAGATAATAATAGATGTATTATAATAGATGTGAAAGATATAGAACTTCAATATGCTGATGACAAAATAGTCTGTGCACACTCAGAAGATGGAATAAATAATAGTTGGAATAATAAAGATATAGAACTCCAATATGCTGATGACAACGTAGTCTGTGCACACTCAGAAGATGGAATAAATAATAGATGGAATAATAATAGATGAATTATTAGAGAATAGATAATAATAGATGTATTATAACAGATGTGAAAGACATAGAACTCCAATATGCTGATGACAACGTAGTCTGTGCACATTCAGAAGATGGAATAAATAATAGATGGAATAATAATAGATGTATTATTAGAGAATAGATAATAATAGATGTATTATAATAGATGTGAAAGATATAGAAATCCAATATACTGATGACAACGTAGTCTGTGCGCACTCAGAAGATGGAATAAATAATAGATGGAATAATAATTGATGTATTCTTAGAGAATAGATAATAATAGATGTATTATAATAGATGTGAAAGATATAGAACTCCAATATGCTGATGATAACGTAGCCTGTGCGCACTCAGAAGATGGAATAAATAATAGATGGAATAATAATAGATGTATTATTAGAGAATAGATAATAATAGATGTATTATAATAGATGTGAAAGATATAGAACTCCAATATGCTGATGACGACGTAGTCTGTGCGCATTCAGAAGATGGAATAAATAATAGATGGAATAATAATAGATGGTATAACAGATGCATTATTAGATAATAGATACTAAGAGATATATTTAATTGATGTAATAGATGTAATGATCCATCTTTCCCATATGTGCCATACATGATTTTGGAGCATTGCTCCATTGGAGTTAAGGCTGGAAGGGACCCCTTTCCCCAACTTGCCCATGAGCCAGATGTCAATAGAGCAGCCCACAGCCAACCAGGTCTCTGGATCCAGTGCTTCTGTCCCTCCCCTCTTCACCCATTGGCTGTGGAGCTCACTCTCTGCCTCCTGATTGGTCGCTGCCTGTGTCCCTCCCACCTGCCTGGGCCCTGCCAAATACTCAGCCATGTGCCTCCTGGTGCATTCCTCCTGGGGATATATTTAGCTTCCCGGCTCCTTTTTGGGGTAAATGGCTTGGCGAGGAGGGTCCGGGCCTGGGTCACCGCTGGGGTGGGTGCTCGGGCCTCCTTCCTTTGCATTGTTTGGGATTCCCTTTTTTGCATACAATCCTTTCCCTTTTTCTGCATGCAATTCTTCCCCTTTTTTTTTGCATACAATCCTTTCCTTTTTTTTTGCATGCAATTCTTTCCCTTTTTCTGCATACAATCCTTTCTTTTTCTGCATGCAATCCTTTGCCAATTTTGCATACAATCCTTTCCTTTTTCTGTATTGGGGTCTGGATGGGGGGAAAGGGCCTTCTTGCATGCCTTGCCTTCTTTGGATTGTATATTTATTAGATTTTAATAATATGATTATTTTATATTATTATTTGAAACGGGGTTGGGGATTCTATGGCGGGAAAGGGCCTTCTTGCATGCCTTGCCTTCTTTGGATTGTATATTTATTACATTATAATAATATTATTATTTGAAACATATTATAAATGTATTATTATTATTATTATTATTATTATTATGCCAGAAGGTAATACATGTATTGTTGTTGTTGTTAAGTAACAAGGCGAGGTGGGTAATACATTTATTATTGCCTTCTCTGGATTATATATTTATTACATTTTAACATTATTATTATTTTATATTATTATTAGAAACATATTATAGAATATATTATTTTATATTATTATTATTACTATTATTATTATTATGCGTTGTTGTTGTTAAGCAACAAGGTGAGGTGGGTAATACATTTATTATTGCCTTCTCTGGATTATATATTTATTATATTTTAATATTACTATTATTTTATATTATTATTTGAAACATATTATAGAATATATTATTATTATTATTATTATTATTATTATTATTATTATTATTATTATGCCATTGTTGTTGTTGTTGTTAAGCATCAAGGTGAGGTGGGTAATACATTTATTATTGCCTTCTCTGGATTATATATTTATTATATTTTAATAACATTTTTATTTTATATTATTGTTTGAAACATATTATAAAATGTATTATTATTATTATTATTATTATTATTATTATTATTATGCCAGAAGGACAGGAAGGTAATACATGCATTGTTGTTGTTAAGCAACAAGGTGAGGTGGGTAATACATTTATTATTGCCTTCTCTGGATTATATATCTATTATATCTTAATAATATTATTATTTTATATTATAATTTGAAACATATTATAGAATATATTATTTTATATTATTATTATTATTATGCCAGAAGGAGAGGAAGGTAATATATGTATTGTTGTTGTTGTTGTTAAGCAACAAGGTGTGGTGGGTAATATATTTATTATTGCCTTCTCTGGATTATATATTTATTATATTTTAATATTATTATTTTATATTATTATTATTATTATGCCAGAAGGAGAGGAAGGTAATACATGTGTTGTTGTTGTTGTTAAGCAACAAGGTGTGGTGGGTAATACATTTATTATTGCCTTCTCTGGATTATATATTTATTATATTTTAATAATATTATTATTTTATATTATTATTATTATTATTATTATTATTATTATTATTATGCCAGAAAAAGAGGCGGGTAATACATGTATTGTTGTTGTTAAGCAACAAGGTGAGGCGGGTAATACATTTTTATTATTATTATTATCATCATGCTACAAGGAGGCAATTAATACATTTTATATCATTGTTGTTATGCCGCCAGAAGAGATAGGTAATAGATTTAATGAGATTATTATTATGCCTCAAGGAGAGGTGGCTAATACATTTATTATTCTTGTTGCTGCTTCTGCTGCTAATGTTATTACTAAGGTGAGGCACAAAATAGATATATTATTATTATTCCGCAAAGAGAGGTGGGTAATACATTTTAAAATTATTATTATTATTATTATTAGGCCACAAAGAGAAGCAATTAATACATTTGTTGTTGTTGTTGTTGTTGTTGTTGTTCTTAGACCACAAGGAGAGGCAGTTAATACATTTATTGTTGTTGTTATTTGGCCACAATGAGAGATGGTTAATATATTTATTATTATTATTATTATTATTATTATTATTATTATTATTATTATTATTGAGATGCAAGGAGAGGCAGGTAATAGATTTGTTGTTCTTGTTCTTGTTAAAAAGCTGCAATGGTTAGGCGGGTAATACAATTATTATTATTATTATTATTATTATTATTATTATTATTATGCTTGTCCACTATGTCCTGCCTCATGTACAGAGGAAGCATTGTTGGAGGCTACAGACAATGCCATTGCTATTGCTATTGCCCGTTTTTGATCAAAAGATATTTAGCCACCTGCGCTCCTTCTATTTTTATTGGTTTTATACTAATTTATGCAATTCTTTTGATAGAAAATAAAATAAATTATTATATTATGTTATTATTAGTATTATCTTTATTTATACCTCACCTTTCTCCCAGTAGAGATTCAAGGCGGCTCACAATAGATCTATTGTTGTTGTCGTTGTTAAGCTGCTATGTTTAGGTGGGTAATACATTTATTATTATTATTATTATTATTATTATTATTATTATTATTATTATTATTATTATTAGAAACACAACAAGATGAGTCCACAGCAGAATAAAAATCACTCTGGTGGCTGTTGTATTGGATCACACATCGGACCCTTCCCAAGTGTCTAGGTCTGTGTGATGTATTGGCAAATAATGCGTGCAGATCCGAGCCAAGTGGCCTTTTGCAGCTGACAGGTGGTAATTTTGTCAGCACCAATTGTTTTTAGGTGAGGCCAAGGTCTTGAGGCATTGCACCCAGTGTGCTGATCACCACTGGGACCCCCTTGACTGGCTTGTTCCAGAGTCTTTGCAGTTCGATCTTTAAATCTATGTATTGTGTAAGCTTGTTGTTGTTGTTGTTGTTGTTATATACACAACAAGATTAGTACACACAACAAAGAAGGTCACTCTGCTGGCTATTGTACTGGATCCCACGTCGGACCCTCCCCAAGTTTCTAGGACTGTGTGATGTATCGGCGAATTATTTGTTATATTGGCCTAATCCGCAAGATCTGTATTATGTTTGTTTTATGATGATGGTGATGATGATGATGATGATGATGATGATGATTATGTTTTATTCAATTTTAATAGGCGAGATCTGTGTGTCATTTTTAAACATTATTATTGTTATTGTTGTTATTATTATTATTCGTGTTATATTGGACTTTAATAGGCACAATCTATATGCCAATTGTTTTACGGACATATATAGGACTTTTGTGCCAATTGTTTTATGTAGTTGTTTATTATTATTATTAGTAGTAGTATTATTATATTACTAGCCGTTCCCTGCCAGGCATTACTGTGGCCCAGTCATGTGACTGGTCATTTGTGTAAATTTTACACCTTGATTGAGCAAGCTTGTTTCCCCCTGTAATAGGCAGTAAGAGCACCTAGAGCTCCAGAGAGCTCCTCTTCAAGCATTTCAAAGCTCCCTGATTGGGCGGTGATGACATGATCATCAGTATAGATTAAAATCTCTGTCCTTTCTGGCAGTGGCTGGTCATTTGTGTCAATGTTAGACATGGATGGAGCAAGCACGCTCCCCTTCTGTTTTCGTCATCTACTTCTCCGGTTTTCCCTGTCATAGGCAGTAAGAGCACCTAAAGCTTCAGAAAGCTTCTGTTCAACCATTTCAAAGTTCCCTGCTTGGGTGGTGATGGCATGATCATTGGCATAGATGAAACTCTCTGTCCCTTCTGGCAGTGGCTGGTCATTTGTGTCAATGTTACACCTTGATGGAGCAAGCTTGTTTCCCCTGTAATAGGCAATAAGAGCACCTAGAGCTCCAGAGAGCTTCTGTTCAGTTCAACCATTTCAAAGCTCCCTGCTTGAGTGGTGATGGCATGATCATCCACATAGATGAAACTCTCTGTGCCTTCTGGCAGTGACTGGTCATTTGTGTCAATGTTAGACATGTATGGAGCAAGCACGCTCCCCTTCTGTTTTCGTCATCTACTTCTCCGGTTTTCCCTGTAATAGGCAGTAAGAGCACCTAAAGCTTCAGAAAGCTTCTGTTCAGTCCTTTCAAAGCTCCCTGCTTGGGTGGTGATGGCATGATCATCAGCATAGATGAAACTCTCTGTCCCTTCTGGTAGTGGCAGGTCATTTGTGTCAATGTTACACCTTGATGGAGCAAGCTTGTTTTCCCTGTTATAGGCAGTAAGAGCCCCTAAAAATTTGGAAAGCTTCTGTTCAACCATTTCAAAGCTCCCTGCTTGAGTGGTGATGGCATGATCATCAGCATAGATGAAACTCTCTGTCCCTTCTGGCAGTGACTGGTCGTTTGTGTCAATGTTACACCTTGATGGAGCAAGCTTGTTTCCCCTGTAATAGGCAGTAAGAGCACCTAGAGCTCCGGAGAGCTTCTGTTCAACCATTTCAAAGCTCCCTGCTTGAGCGGTGATGGCATGATCATCAGCGTAGATTAAAGTCTCTGTCCCTTCTGGCAGTGGCTGGTCATTTGTGTAAATGTTGAACATTGATGGAGCAAGCGTGCTCCTCTGAGGCAGGCCGTTCTTATGTTTTCACCATGTTTCTCTGGCCCTGAAACTCAACAAAAAAGCTCCTGTTTTGTAGCCGATTTTGTAGCAGTACTTTATTATTATTATTTTATTGACACAAAAACACAGTTTGCTGGATTTCGTATCACAAAATCACAAGTCGAACATTCCCATGCGTCTAGGACTGTGTGATGTATTTTTGAATGATGGGCACAGAATAATAATAATAATAATAATAATAATAATAATAATAATAATAATAATAACAACAATAATGGCCATTAATAGGCAAGATCTGCTTGCCAATAGTTTTATCTAGATGGTGATGATGTTGATGGTGATGATGTTGATGGTGATGATGTTGATGATGATGATGATGATGTTGATGATGATGATGTTGATGATGATGATGATGTTGATGGCGATGACGTTGATGGCGATGACGTTGATGGCGATGACGTTGATGGCGATGACGTTGATGGCGATGGCGTTGATGGCGATGGCGTTGATGGCGATGACGTTGATGGCGATGATGTTGATGGTGATGATGTTGATGATGATCATGTTGATGGTGATGATGTTGATGGTGATCATGTTGATGGTGATGATGTTGATGGTGATGATGTTGATGGTGATGATGTTGATGGTGATGGTGATGGTGATGATGTTGATGGTGATGATGTTGATGATGATCATGTTGATGGTGATGATGTTGATGGTGATGATGTTGATGATGATGATGTTGATGGTGATTATGTTGATGATGTTGATGGTGATTATGTTGATGGTGATGATGATGATGTGTTGTACTGGACTTTATTAGGCTCGACCTGCATGTCAATTCTTCTATGTCGATAACGATTTCCCCGATTGTCTCTCCACTTGGCATTGGGGGGTCTTTACAAGGATAATGGGGTTCCCCGGCACTTGGACTTGATGATGCTGATGTGAATGCCGTGTTCTGTGCCAATGTTTACATGTGCCCTATGTCTCCCTCTGTGCCAGGCCTGCCCTTGGAGCGGAGAGGATGCCCGGGACGGTGGCGGCCCCTTCGTCCTCGTCGTCTTCCTCGTCGCAGGGTCGTGCCCGGGCCCGGGACCGCAACAACCTGCTGCACCGGGCCGAGTTCCTGTCCCTGAACCAGCCCCCCAAAGGCACCCAGGAGTCCCCCACTTCCTCTTCATCTTCACGGAAGGGGGCCTCCTCTACCTCAGATGGGGCCCCCACTGCGCCCCGGCGCTCATCCCAGCAGCTGCCGGAGGAGGACTGCATGCAGCTGAACCCCTCCTTCCGGGGCATCGCCTACAGCGCCCTCCTGGCCATCGACATCTCCATCTCCAAGCGGCTGGGGGTCTGTGCCAGTAGCGCTTCCTCCTGGGGCAGTGCCCGCTCCATGGTCCTCCTGCTGGGCCTCACCGGGCACGGGCTGCCCTGGGTGGCCGGCACCCTCCTCTGCCTCGTGCGCAGCTCCACCCTGGCCGGCCAAGAGGTCCTCCTCAACCTCCTCCTGGGTGAGTCACACAGGCGCAAGGCCCCTTCCACTTCCTCCTTCTCTTCTTCCTCCTCTTTCTTCTCCTTAACCTCCTCCTGGATGAGTCACAAGGAGACAGGGTACTCTGCACCCTCCATTTCCTCCTTCTCCACCTCTTCTTCTCCTTCTCCTCAACCTCCTCCTGGGTGAGTCACAAAGGACTCCTTCTCCTCCTTCTTCCTTCTCTCCTCCTCCTTCTTCTTCTCAACCTCCTCCTGAGTGAGTCACACGGGCACAAGGCACCCTCCACTTCCTCCTTCTCCACTTCTTCTTCTTCCTTCTCTCCTCCTCCTCCTCCTTCTCCTCAACCTCCTCCTGGGTGCGTCACAAAGGAGCCCTTCTCCTACTTCTTCCTTCTCTTCTCCTCCTTCTTCTTCTCAACCTCCTCCTTGGTGAGTCACAGGGGCACAGGGCACCCTCCACTTCCCCCTTCTCCACTTCTTCTTCTTCCTTCTCTTCTCCTCCTCCTCTTTCTCCTCAACCTTCTCCTGGGTGAGTCACAAAGGAGTCCTTCTCCTCCTTCTTCCTTCTCTACTCTTTCTTCTTCTCAACCTCCTCCTGGGTGAGTCACATAGACATAAGGCCCCCTCGACTTCCTCCTTCTCTTCTTCCTCCTCTTCTTCTCTTTCTTCTCCTTAACCTCCTCCTGGATGAATCACAAGGAGACAGGGTACTCTGCACCCTCCACTTCCTCCTTCTCCACCTCTTCTTCTCCTTCTTCCTTCTCTTCTCCTCCTCCTCCTCCTCCTTCTCCTCAACCTCCTCCTGGGTGAGTCACAAAGGAGTCCTTCTCCTTCTTCCTTCTCTCCTCCTCCTCCTTCTTCTCAACCTCCTCCTGGGTGAGTCACACAGACCCAAGGCCCACTCCACTTCCTTCTTCTCTTCCTCCTCCTATTCTTCTCTTTCTTCTCCTTAACCTCCTCCTGGATGAGTCACACAGACCCAAGGCCCACTCCACTTCCTTCTTCTCTTCCTCCTCCTATTCTTCTCTTTTTTCTCCTTAACCTCCTCCTGGATGAGTCACAAGGAGACAGCCAGGGTACTCCGCACCCTTCACTTCCTCCTTCTCCACCTCTTCTTCTCCTTTTCCTTCCCTCCTCCTCCTCCTCCTCTTCCTCCTCCTCCTCCTTCTCCTCAACCTCCTCCTAGGTGAGTCACAAAAGAGTCCTTCTACTTCTTTCTTCTCTCCTCCTCCTTCTTCTTCTCAACCTCCTCCTCGGTGAGTCACACGGGCACAGGGCACCCTCCACTTTCTCCTTCTCCTCCTTCTTCCTTCTCTTCTCTTTCTTCTTCTCCTCAACCTCTTCTTGGTTGAGTCACAAGGGCACCCTCCACTTCCTCCTCTTCTGATCCTTCTTCCTTGTCTCCTCCTCCTTCTCCTCAACCTCCACTTCCTCCTCTTCCTCCTCTTCTCCTCCACTTCTTCCTCTTCTCCTCCTTCTTCCTGTTTTCTCCACTTCCTCCCTTCTCCTCCGTCTTCCTTGTCTTCTCCTCCTCCTTCTCCTTCTCCCTCCACTCCTCCTCTTCTCCTCCTTCTCCTTCTCCTCAACCTCCTCCTCAGTGATTCATGCAGGAGTCCTTCTCCTCCTTCTTCCTCCTCTTCTCCTCCTCCTCCTTCTCCTTCTCAGCCTCCTCCTGAGTGAGTCACAAGGGGACAGGGTACATTGCACCCTCCAGTTCTTTCTCCTCCTCCTCTCCTCCTCCTCCTTCTTTCTTCTCTTCTCCTCAACCTCTTCTTGGGTGAGTCACAAGAACACAGGGCTCAGTGCACCCTCCACTTCCTCCTCCTTCCTTCTCTTCTTCTTCTTCTCCTCTACCTCCTCCTGGGTGAGTCACACGGGCACAGAGTACATGGCACCCTCCACTTCCTTCTCCTTCTTCCTTCTCTTCTCACCTCAGCCTCCTCCGGATTTAGTCACAAGGAGACAGGGCACAAAGTGCCCTCCACTTCCACCTTCTCCTTCTCCTCCTTCTTCCTTCTTTTCTCCTCAACCTTCTCCTGAGTGAGACACATGGGAAGAGGGCACAAGACATCCTCCTTCCTTCTCCTTCCCTTTCTTCTTCCTTCGCTTCTCCTTTTCCTTCTCGTCCTCCTCCTTCTTCCTTCTCTTGTCCTCAACCTATTCCTGGATGAATCATGCGGGAGTCCTACTCCCCTTTCTTCCCTTTCCTCCTCCTCCTTCCTCCTCCTCCCTGATCTTCTTCTACTTCTTCCTCTTCTCCTCTTCCTCTTCTTCTCCTTCTTCCTTTTGCTCACCTCTCCTTTTCCTTCTTCTTCTTCCTCCGCCTTCCTCCTCTTCTACTTCTTCCTCTTCTCCTTCCTCATCTCTCCTCCTTTTCCTTCTTCTTCACTTCCTCCTTCTCCTTCTCCCTTTTGTTCATCTCTCCTCCTTTTCCTTCTTCTTCCTCCTCCTCCATCCTCCTCTTCTACTACTACTTCTACTTCTTCCTCTTCTTCTCCTTCCTCATCTCTCCCCCTTTTCCTTCTTCCTTCTCCTCCTCCTCCTCCTCCTCCTCCTCCTTCACTTCCTTTTCTTCTCCTTCCTTTTGCTCATTTCTCCTTTTCCTTCTTCTTTCACCTTCTCTTCTTCAGCTTCTACCTCTTCTTCATTTCCTCTCCCTCTTCTTCTCCTTCTTCCTTTTGCTCATCTCTCCTCCTTTTCCTTCTCTTCTCCTTCTCCCTCTTTGATTTATTTGTATCCCTTTTATCTCTGTACCTGAGACACAAAACCTTAGCAGAATGAGCCAAAATGCTCTCGGATCGATTCTTTACAGTATTTCTTCAATTTGAAGACATACTCTTCTTCCCTTGAATATTTATACACACACACACACACACGTGTGTGTGTGTGTTGTGTATGTGTGTGTATATATATAAATTATGATGACGATGCTTGTTGTCATATTTATTTATCTGCCGCTTTAAAAGAGTGTGCGTCTTCGGTGTCTTGCCTATTCATCAGAGGCTTTGACAGTCTTCCAAAGAGTCGCAGGCCTTGGGAAACTGCCTCTCCCAAGGTTTGCCTGTTTCCTTCACCTGGTTTGCCCTCTTTTTGGTTTGGGATTTATGAGGCACCGACAACCTATTCCTGACGCAGTCACTGGGCCGGAAGCCAAGCCTTGGCTCGGAGGGCTTTGCGGACAGACAGACAGACGCTTAGGGGAAATGCCCCCAAATGAGGGAATCTGTGTCGTAGGAGAACCTTAGAGTTAGAAGGGGCCCCTAAAGGCCATCTAGTCCAACCCTATTCCACATAGACACCATCAGCGAGAGACTAGATAGCCTTTAGGGGACCCTTCCAACTCTGACACAGATTCCCTCATTTGGGGGCATTTCCCTTAAGCATCTGATAATGGATAGAGAAATAGCGATATATGATATATCTTTCTATATATCTCTATCTATATAATCCTAGAGTTGGAAGGGGCCCCTAAAGGCCATCCAGTCTAACCCCATTTTGTCGTAGACACCATCAGTGTCAAGAGATGGTCATAGAAATTATTTTTATAGATATAGATATAGATATAGATATAAAAACCTAGAGTTGGAAGGGGCCCCTAAAGACCATTCAGTCTAACCACATTCTGCTGTAGACACCATCAGTGTCAAGAGATGGTCATAGATATGATTATATATATATATATATATATATATATATATATATAACACACACACACACATATATATAGTACATAGATATAGATATAAAATCCTAGAGTTGGAATGGGCTCCTAAAGGCCATCTGGTCTAACCCCATTCTGCCGTAGACACCATCAATGTCGAGAGATGATCATAGATATTATTTATATAGATATAGATATAGATATAAAATCCTAGAGTTGGAAGGGGCTCCTAAAGGCCATCTAGTCTAACCCCATTATGCTTTAGACACCATCAGTGTCAAGAGATGGTCATAGATATGATTATATATATATCTATATATTATATAGATATATAAAATCCTAGAGTTGGAAGGGGCCCCTAAAGACCATCCAGTCTAACCACATTCTGCTGTAGACACCATCAGTGTCAAGAGATGGTCATAGATATGATTATATATATATATATATATATATATATATATATATATATATAATCTATATATATATATAACATATATATATGTGTGTGTGTTATATAGATATAGATATAGATATAAAAACCTAGAGTTGGAAGGGGCCCCTAAAGGCCATCTAGTCTAACCCCATTATGCTGTAGACACCATCAGTTTCGAGAGATGGTCATATATATATATATATATATATATAATCATATAGATATAAAATCCTAGAGTTGGAAGGGGCCCCTAAAGGCCATCCAGTCTAACCCCATTCTGCTGTAGACACCATCAGTGTCGAGAGATGGTCATGGATATGATGTATATATATATATAATAGATATAGATATAAAACCCTAGAGTTGGAAGGGGTCCCTGAAGGCCATCCAATCTAACCCCATTCTGCCATAGACACCATCTGTGTCAAGAGATGGTCAACCCTCTCAACAGATGGCCACCCAGCATAGAGAGATGTAATATATATATATATATATATATATATATATATATAGTTGGAAGGGTCACCCTTAAGGCCATCCATTCCAACCCCATTCTGCCGTGGACACCATCAGTGTCAATAGTTGGTGAACCCTCTCAACAGATGGCCACCTAGCATAGAGAGATGTCATATATATATATATATATATATATATATATATAGTTGGAAGGGTCACCCTTAAGGCCATCCATTCCAACCCAATTCTGCCATAGACACCATCAGCATCAAGAGGTGATCAAAGACATGATTGATAGAGAATATATGTTTAAGATTTATATGTGTGTGTATATGTGTGTGTATAAAATCCTACAGCTGGAAGGGATGCCTAAAGGCCATCCATTCTAACCCTATTCTGCCATAGTCATCAGCATTGAGAGATGGTCACGTGTATGATTGATAGAGAATATCTATATGTGTGTGTGC